AGATATCCCAAAGGTGAAGTACAACCCAGAAGAGAACAAACGCCCATTAGAGGTAAGAAGATGTGGTTTTCAATAAAGGGTACTTCTGGACTCATAGCTCACACTTCTCTCAGAGCATCTGCTAGAGAGGATTGGTATTTTAATAGTGGTTATTCTAGACACGGGACATGTATTAAGAAATTTCTGGTAGATATTAAACCACACTCCACTAGCTATGTCACTTTTGGAGATGGTTCAAAAGGAGAAATAAAATATGTTGGAAAGCTGGACTATACAGGTCAACGAAGTCTGGATGATATGTTGTTTGTCAAGGGATTGACTGCTAACTTGATCAGCATTAGTCAACTATATGAACAAGATAAGAACATATTACAGTGTTCATACTTCCATAGTGGAGGGCAACCACTTCACACAAGAATCCATTGCAGACACACTTGATTTAGAATTTCTCACATATTCCAGAACAAATGCTCTTAGCTTGCTTTCTACACAAGTTCTAGATTTCCATTGTATTTAACTTGTAGTAGAAGAAACCATCACCTCAACAGGCACTATGATCATATCTCAGTATCTGATTTCCTTCTTCATCCCTTTCATTCACTAGCAATTGCTGATACCAGTGAAGTCTTCAAAAAGATAGTAGTCATGTATTGCCAGAACATACTACTATACCCAAGATCAGAATCTGCACATTCTTATCCTCATAGTCAGAATTTCCACTTCTGACGACCATGCTTGAGCATCTAACTCCATATGCTCATTAAAAACAACACATCCCAAACATAATGTTACAACATCATTTTAGGACATCAGTTTCATAACACAGAACCCAAATACCAAGGTTCTTAAACATACCATTCAAGGACTTACTATGCAGAGAAGTCCTTAAAGAAGCTCCCAATAAACACATGAAGATCTCAAAAGATCACACCTTCTACAGCACATTCAGGTTAATACAACCATCTAAACACCATTGAGAGAAATAAACTCTCAAACAGTTTCTGAACTAACAGTTCAGAGATCAGAATTGCATCCATACTTTAGATAAGTACCTAGCTCCCGACAAGGTCTTTACCATTAGTAGCATGCCCATCTTCACCAGTTCCGACTTATACCCGACTCCCGACAAGGTATATGTCATCAGAGGAAGAACTTCCTCACACACACAGTTGCAGATGATACTCCCTTTCAACAGATGTTAGAACACTTGATCTGACATCCTTCCTCTTCAAATTTTTGCACAAGGGAATCCTTCATAACATTCCAGACTTGGTCATAGACTATACTTTACACTCTGTCATGGTAATACATTCCAGCTTAGGAATTCAATAGTGATCAGCAACAATCACCCCATGATCTTCAACACAAGCTTTCTTCTGGAGAAACAAATACTCCTGAGATGATGTTCCAACATTAATCCCATATTTATGGACTTTACCACATAATATGCTTCTGGAGATGATACACATAGTAAGTCCAAAAAAAGTTCTTGAGGAAGAACACAAGAGGAACAACCATCAGTAGTTGATCAATCTTCAACACCAAATCAAACACGTGCATAATTTGAACATAACACACCTCAAGGAACTTCTCCTTAAGCACGAAATCTAGACCACCTGTCTGAATTTGAAGTGTTTAATCACAAGCCTTCTGCACCTAAGAGGAGATTCCCTCTACCATGCAGACGACTACACACAGGGTTTTATATGATCATCAACCCTTCAAACAGACTGTCCAGGAGTACTCCAACTTCTCCAAAATTTATGGATGCCACATCATGACTTATAAGTTAATTTTCCATACTATTAACTTACCTCAGGTTGATGCATCTCCATTACATACAACCATAGAATGTCTCTTTCACTTTAGCAGAACAAAAGTTCAATGTTCTTATAGACTTGATAAGTGATATCAAGTTAGAGTAAACGAACTATATCCTGTTTGAGGGAAAACTCAGTCAGACTAAGTTGAGAAAAATAAATTCTCAACACAAATATGTCACGATATTATATCTGACATCTCAAGAATCTCCAACTTCATATTAGGGATTCTTCTTCATAAACTGCTATGAACACCTTGAGAATTACATATTTTCTCCTTAATAGCAGTACAATATATGGTTAGTGCACACCCAAATAAATCTGTATCTGTTGTAATAGAAACTGTTCCACCTGAACAAGATCACACACATATGGCTTCTTTGATCAGAAGAGACTAGATGACAGAGAGAATGTTCTTGCCATATTAACTTGACCTCCATAAATAAGGAACCTGGATGAGATGATAAACCTCTACGGGAATTAGAGCTCGGCCTTTGCACTTCTACTAACTTGAATAAAAAATAAACTGAACCAAGCAGTAGCCATAGGTTGACCATTATTCCCCCAACCCATCAATCTAAGACGTGTTTTCTGGATAAACATCTTAGATACAAAACCCAGATGCCTCCTCTTCCAAATCAGGAGTAGGTTCCAAACATATGTTATCACCGCACATTTTTCTGACACCCAGAGCATCTGTTATGCAACATGAATATACACGCCGGCTGACACAATGTCCCAACATCTTGTAGGACATTAGTTCCCTTCCTCTTGAACTCCCAAAACAAAGCTTAGTTCTTAATCCTAACACTTCTTCCAGAAAACAAATAACTCTTTATCACCTTCAAGATCGTAAAAAATATTCCAAGCTCCAGCAGTATCAAATAGCAGCAAGACTTAGAGTCACTTTCCTAATTAAGTCAAGTATTAGTAAGACTTTACTAGACGCTGAAATAAATGGCTCTAAACTTTCATCAACAAACTCAAGTATCATTGGCAACTCCACAGAGTTAGTTGAGGATGTCTTGCATACTACATCGTCACACACCAAACCTGCTGAGAAGACCAAACCCTGAAGCCCTTCCTTTACTTGCGACACAAGAAACAACCAGGGTTACAACAAATACCATGCAGCGGAATACACAACAACAAAACCTCCTCAACAATCTTCAGGCACAACATATTGCACTCAACCATCACAATTCAGGTGCAAACAAAATCCAACCTAGGTTTGAAAATAAATCAAACCCAACACAATAGCTTACCACCAAAGCTACAAGCTTGATAACAACAGACATGTCCAACACAACCCTGTCAGGAATAATCCATCTTCCACTTCAAGGGACCATTCAAATAAAAATATGAACTCTCCAAGTTCAAACAAATTTTTAGTTGATACCTCCTTCCTTGCCCATGACCAGAAAGTATCATCCCAGGAACTCACCCAGAAACATAATATGATGCCTGCTCTGATACCAATTGAAATTCTGGTAGGTAAGAACTCAAATATCCTATAGGATGTCGAGACATCTAATCTGACAAAAACAACATGGCAAAACATAAACAATATAAAACAGTACTGAAAAGAATAAACAACACAAGAATTGTTAACCCAGTTCGGTGACAACACCTACTCTGGGGGCATACCAAGCCAGGGACAAATCCACTCAAATAGTATCAATTTGTAGACCTTACAGTAAACCTCTCATTTATGGCCTAATTACTTAATCCATACCCAATGCAACTTCTACCTAAGAACTCCTAGATATGAGTATACCCACTCATTTACAATCACTACAGCGACGTCTAACAGTCCCAGTGCTAGTTATTGTATCGATGACCTTTCACCTAAATGAAGATCACACTTCAAATACAAACAAACACCTTAATCAAGACACCCCCATGATTACTCTCTCTGTCTCATAATAGGTGTCATCTTTCCTATTTTTATTTGTTTCAAATTATTTATCCCTTTAAAATATCAATATAATACTTATTATTTCTTTCAATTAACTTACTCTTATTTATTGTATTTTAATTCATATAACTACTCCACTATCTATTATGAATAAGATTATTTTAGTAATGAGACTCATCCTATTGTGAAAGAGATGCACTAATAAATTAATATATTATTTTGATCATCATTATCATAAAAATTTAAATACATTTAATCTATGAAAAGTGTACTCAACTTTTTATAATAAATATTTAAGAATCTTTCCGGTTATAAAGCCAGAATTGAGAAAAAGTAGCAGAGCGGATTCAAATCAGCAAAAAAAACTGGATTGTTATTAATAAATCTGAATAGAGTCAATAGACAAAAATAACCATTTAATAAAAATTGCATGTTATTTGGATTTAGTTTTTGGATAGATCAGTACGCAATCTATAAGAATCCAATAAGCTACTGATAGTGACGAGTTGTCAGTTTTAAACAAATTTGTGGTTTTACCTTCGTAAATAATTGAATCTGAAATTTTGTGTGTGGAAAGTAGCAAACTATAATTTCCAAAGATCTCCGATTATTGAAAAACCTAACTTTACTATTTCTTTTTTCAACCAAATCAAATTAAACTTGATTAAAAAATTCTCACTTTTACACAGTCAAACATATTTTTCAAGAATAAACTTAGTTTAGTGAATCATATTTTCAATAACATGTTGAATCTTGAAAGCTCTCTTGACCTAGAATTGAATTAACATTCACATCGAAATTGAAACAAGAGACAGTTTCATACACACAAGTGTGGTGAAAAAAATGATCTATATTTAGGGAGATTTTTTAAAAAGTAAAACTCAAAAGTTACTGATACAAAATTCTTAGCATCTGTTGGGTTCCACTTTTATGTGAACTACAATTTTGAGTGCTTCAATTGTGGAACAAAGATACACTTAACAGCTTCAAAACAAAGCCAAAATCTGGAATATATCAGCCATGAAATTGAAAAATGGGTAAACTGCAATATAAAGGAAACACTAGTAGATCAACACCAGCCATACTAATATTATTAATATCAAGATAAAATCATAACCATAACATAATAACCCTCAGGAAGAGTATCAATGCTCCAATGCAGAATCTACCAAATGTAAAACCCTAAAATGTCATTCAAAACAAAAATCTAGAGAAGAAAACAGAAAATTAGGGATTCGAAATTCGAAATTCGAACACGAGATCTAATGGAACAATCTCCATTTATAATCCCAATCACACTCAGTAACTTGAAACGCATTACTCAAAGAACTTCCATTGTTTGATTTTAGAGGAACCTGCAAATCACAACGAACCTTAGGTTTCGCTTTCCCTGACTTAAACAAACCCAATTTAAACCTCACATTCATCAAAACCTTCACATTGATTCCATAAACTCCATTTTCCTTCTCTTTGTCAAACTCCGAAACCTGATCTGAACTCAACAGAATCACTTGTTCACCTTTGAAAACAGGGTTCAAGAAATTCGTACTCTTATGATGCTGAAAGAATCCCGGTAGCGTTTGATTCCCAAACGCAACATCTTTATAAAACGCAACCGTTTCGATGCTATCGTAATAGATTCCGACGCGGCGGTTAGGGTTTCGGATTGTGATGTTGACGGTGAGATCGTAGTGGAGTGCGTTGTTTTTGGTGAAATTGAATTGAGAAAGAGATGCATCGGTGGCGGTGAAGTGGACGACGTTAGGACGGACGATGAGCCAGAAGAGGAAGCCGAGGATTACCACGATGATGAGGATTGTGGTGAGGATTTTGCAGATGATGCTCAATATGCAGTTGAAGATGCAGCCGCAACAGCCGCGGAAGCAGCCGCAGAGGCAGCTGCAGAAGCCGCAGGAGGAGTCGTTGCGGTGACGACGGTGGGGTTGCGGCGGCGGGATGGAAGGGCCGTAGTAAGCGCCGTTGAGTTGATTTGACATGATTGAAGATATTGAAGAGAAAAGCGATTGATTAATTAATTAATCGATTCAAATTATTTCAAAACGTTGGTAGAGTGATTTGTGAACAATGAAAAATATATATTAAATTATTAACGGAAAGGGGGGTATAAAAGGAATTTCGGTTATTAAGTTATAACGTTAGTGCCGTGGTGGTGTAGTGCGAAACGGAGAAACTAAATATGGGAGAACGTGTAGAGAATTGGAATAGATACAAACAGACTAAGCGTGTTAAGTGATAAAGTTTCAACTGAAACGGAATTCAGTAATAATGATACAAAAATTTATCTTTATAGCGGTGATTTTCACTTAGGAAAATTTAAAAAAATTATTGAATATATATTTTAAATATATATTTTTGAATTTATATTGTAAATTTGAGATATTAAATTATTTTAAATATATATATTTAAAATAACTTTTAAAAAATTTAAATGGAATGACTTCAAATATATCTATTTGAATTTATTTAATATTCTAAATTTATTTTGATTTTATTTTGAAAATATATTTATTTATAATATAATCATAATAAAATTTAATTAATATACACCTTCAGAGTAAATATTTTTACACTGTCCATCCATTATGACCATTCAACTTTATTATTTAAAAATAAAATTGAAACTAAAGTCAAATATTTTAAACAATTTAAAAGTTCTGATTCACTGACGATATAAAATTATTTTATACCGACAATGTATATCAATTAAATTTATTAGAATATTATTAATTTAAATTATTATTAATAAAATATATTTAAATTTGTAATTAAAAAATAAATATTAAAATAAATTTATGATATGAAATTAAATAATAAATACAATAATTAAATTTTTAATTATAATGGTGAAATGTAATTGTCTTTTTATTATTTATTTCAAATTATGAATAATTTTTGATAAAAAATATATATAATTATAATTTTAAAAGTTAAATTTAATTTATATGACACTTTTTTAGTTATTATTATAGAATTGATAATTAATTATTATGTTGTAATTAAATTTTTTATTATATTAAAAAGATATTTATATTATAATTAAATATTAAATATTATTAATAATTAATAATATAAAATAAGGTATTTAATATTAAATGAATAAATTTTTGAAATAAATAATAAATAATTTATAAATTATAGAGATTTTCTATATTAAATAAATATATTTTTTATAAGAATAAAAATTAAAGTAAAATCAAAATAGATTTGAAATATTAAATTATTTCGGATATAAATATATATAGTTTAAGAATATTTTAAAATTTTTGTTAAAGGTGTACAAGAAGCCTATTAAATGGAAAAGAAATTCTCTAATATTATTCGTAGGGCTTATTTTGATAGGAAAGTTTTAAAAAAAAATTGTCAAGATCTAACGAGGTAAGAGAATAATGAGTTAATTAATTGTGGTTTATACTTCTAATCAAATTGATTATGATTAATTGTGGTTTCAAGCGTGTTTGGCGATTGGGTTGGACGGTAGGGCCAATCGGAAAAAATTATTAAGATAATAATTTGATCTTGACCCAAAAAATATTAATATACAAGATTTGATTTAACCAATATATAATATAAAAGTTCTTTAAGAGGAAAATAAGATTAATATATAATATTTATATGCTTTTTAAAGACCTTTTATATTACAATTTTTAATAAAATATATGTAAAATGTATTTAATAAAAAACGAACAATATTATAGAATCATTGTCATTGTTTTAGATAATAATTTTAAATTTAATTTTCTTTTTAATAAAAATTATGAAATGGTGGTAATAATAAATAGTTGAGATTTAATTTTTGTTTTTTTTTCCTTCGTATTTTTTTACTTATAAACATTTTTCATAAAAAAATAAGAATAATTTATATATAGTTGTGTAATTTTATTTACACATAAATTCAATTAAATTATACAATGTAGTTGTTTAAATTATCATGTATGTTATTGTTTAAATTTTTCTTTTTTCTTTTTATTAATGTATTTGTTAGCTGTAATTTTGACGCTCTAATGAATTGAAGCTCAAGTCGAATTCAAAAGATGATTGTTGGGATGGTGAAAGCTAATTTCAATATGAAGTGTGTGATACGGTGAGAGAACTGACTTGAAAGTTTTGCGTTTTATCATAAATGTTGCGGTTAGCAAGAGTCGCCACCGACTTTTCTTTTATCCAAAAGAAAAGGTGAAAAAGTACAGGAAAGACTTTTGAGATTATTTCTTGAGTTCGGGGGTAGATTATGAAAAGGGAAGGTATTAACACCCTTTTCATCCATGGTTTTCCATGAGCTCTTAGTTACTTGCTAGATCACTTGCTTTTGTTTGAAATTGTGCTTTGTGTGGTTTTTGAAAGTATTTTGTAAAGAGACCATTGTTTAGGCAATCTTTGTAATGATTCTCGTTTGTAAGAATGTATACAAATATGTTGATCTTTTGAAAATATTTTCAAGTTTTGTAAGATGTTTGAAAGTGTATATGTTTGTTTTAAAAATAGCAAGAATATTTTGTTTTGAAATTGAGCAAGCAACTAGGAACAATCTACCTACTCAAAAGTCTTTCATGTTTATTTCCTCTTTTCTTTGACATTGTTATCTAACCATTAATTTGGTAAGAAACCCTATCTTTGGATGTAAAAGAGACGGACGTGGGTCATCGTATAACCATGATTAGCAATGTTGCAAGGTATCTTAGCATTTTTCTTTAGGGACTAAGATCATTTTGAAAAGGCAACATAGATAGCGTCATTGAGGGACTATGATCTTATATTTTGTTTGTTTTTGCTAAGATATCTCACATGCATAATATGGTCATTTTTGTAAGGCAACAAAGTGGGTTTACCCTAAGGGGTGCTTGTGTGCAAGTGTATTATTTTCAAGCTTGATTTTGTCTTTGATTAGGGTTTTTTTAAGTATTGGTTTTAGTCTTTCCATACAAACCCTAATTACTAGCATGTTATATATAAAGCGATAAACTGCGGAATTTAAAGTTACTATGCTATTATAATACTTGTGGGAGGGGGGTGTACAAATTATAAATGAGGACTGCAAAAAAATAAACCTAATTAATCTATTACAACCATATTGAATTTGTACAAGAATTGAAATAAATAATGTGTAAATGAATAATTATTCAAAAATGTAAATGTAAAGTAAATGGATATTTTTATTTGGATTTTTTAGGAAAAGGAAATTTGTTTTAACCTAATTAATTAAAAAATAATAATTAATTAAAACATTAAAAAGTAAACCTAAATTTATTAGGAAAAGGAATTAAGTAAAACCCTAATCTATTAATTGATTAAAAGAAAATAAGTTTGTAAGAAAAATATTTTTGGTATTTTTGTCTTTTAAAATAATTTATAGTATTATAAAATATTTTTGGCATTTTTTATATTAAAATTATATATTTTAATTGGTGTAAAAGAAATAAATAAAAACCTAGTTTTTTTAATTAAATTTACAAAATAATTAGTGAAATAAATGAAGTATGATAAAATAAAATAATTTTTGTGTGAGAAAAAATAAATAAACTATGTCAAAAATATAAATATACTATTTTTATATTTTTCATGATTTTTTAATATTAGATAAAATATTTAAGAAAAATAAATAAATAAAAATAAGAAAAAGTCAACAGGGGGTTAGCAGTAAGAGAAAAAGTAAAAAAGCCCAAATGAGGCCCAGGCGCCTTGTCCAAAAAGTCAGAATGCAAAATATGTGAAAAAAAATCAAAAGGGTACCGCTGGGGCTCGAACCCAGGTCTCTCTGGTTACAGGCGCGCGCTTCTACCACTGGGGTGGCTATACATCCGTTTATATAAATCAAAGCATAAATATATATGGCAAATACGTTCCTGAGGCCAACTTCATCTTCAACCTCACGCCCAGCCAGAACCTCTGTAACTTGTTCAAATCTCAACAAAAATGAAAACTTTAAACATGAAACTTGTAGCAAATTTCCTCACGGTTTCAAAAATGTAAAGCATTAAAACTATAGATCAAAGACAAACATGAATTTCATTGGCCATAATCTGAACCCTAAAAATCTCAAAAACTTCAATCTTAAAATTCTCTAAGCTCAAGCAAAGTTAATGGAAACTATGGACATGGTTAGCTTTAGGGCAATGATATCTACATGTTTCATTCATAAATAAATCATTGATGATGCGTGTATAAAAAGTTCTAAAGTTAGAAAACTTACCTTGTAAGAGGGTATCGGGTTTGGAGTTTGAGAAGCTTTTAGTGAGTTCCAATGATTGGGTTAGCTTCCTCAAGTTACCAGGAAGCTAAAGGGATGCTTAGCTTGAGTTGAAAGTGTATGAGGAGTTCTGGAGAAGTCCAAGTGCAAAACTCTGTTTTTGAAAATGGTGGATGATGATGGAGGTGTTACAGTGGTGCTGCAGGTATTGGGATTGTTTGTGTATGTTGTTTAGAAGCTTTTGAAAGTAAAAGGCCAAGAAACGCACAGGTAGATTTGAAGATTGGCTTCAAAACTCAGAAATGACAAGTTTTGAAGTGTTTTTGGTGATTCTGAGTTCTAGGTGTTTTCAGGGCTTAAGCATGCGTGTCTTTTGTGGAAAAATAGTTTGTGTATGTATAAGCAAAGAGGTTTGAGTGCCTTGGAAAGTCAGAAGTACAAGTTACAAGTTATTTGCTATGTTACTTGATTTTCAAGAAAAGTGGGAAACCAAGTTTCAATGTGAAGTACAAGTATGGGTTGGGTGATTGTAAGTGCCTAACAAGTTTCTTATGAGTTATAGGACTTGTATGATGAGAAGAGAACAAGTGTAAGGCTCAAGAACAAGTTTTGTGCAAAAAGTCACTTTATCAAAATGGCAATGTGCACTTTCTTCCCAAAATGGATATAAAGCATGACCTTGCATTAAATGCTTGAAATGAGACCTCTAACAGTTGTGTAAGAAATTAATTATGGAGTTCCTAACAAGTTTGAGGCCTGTAAAGTAGAGTTTATGCAGCATAACTTTGAATT